ATATATAGATAATTATATAATATTATATATAGTATACCCGATATAGTCTACAGCATGCAAACATGCGTGTGTGTGTATATATACATAGTATAGGCACATACATCTATACTCTTCAGCAGGCAATCCAAGAAGCTTTAAAATTGCACGATAACACTTCAGATTCATTGGCGTTTGGTGTTCCCTCAAGTGTCCATTCCCACTTCTTGTTGGCAAATATCCCTGGACGTATTTTCTCCAGTCAGTAATCAATGGACCCAAAAAAACAAATATGATTGTGTTTCAGGCTTTCAACACGTAGCTGTTGCCAACTTGACATCAAGCCGAAACCGCAAAGCACTCCCTGATTTCGCAAGAACCCTTCGGCTCCATCAGAACAGCATTTGAGAGTCAACCTCAAGTCAACTCCATTCCTGGCCACTGGCCGATGACCATGGCTCACATCCCGCGGTTGCTATGGCCTCCAGCTGTTTCTTTTGACCCAAGGTGCTTTTAACAGCATCCTCCATGGCCAAGTCCTTCAGCTCCGCTGAATGCTCCTGCGATTGCTTTTTTGACCTCAAAAACAAACCCAAAACATGGGTTGTTTCAAACCGAAAACTGGTGTCAAAAAAGAAACAAGCTTAAGTTCGTGGAATACCTTTTGATTTGGGAATCTCTTTAAATCAAGGATATCGAAACCTACATTCCTTTTACACGTTGAGCGGTGAGTGTAACTTTCAGAGGTACAGGACCTGCTGAATGCGTTCATTCAAACACTGGCATGTCCTTTGGATCGGATGAAACCTTTCTAAATCTATGATGTGGGAAACCCAATGCCATAAATTATGCCATAAATCTACCATTTGGGGATAGTTTATAATATAAAGATGGTGATTTGGGGTTTGGTTTATTATTATTCGGTTTAGCACATGATTCCTGTTAAAATATGTTAAAATCGTATTCCATAAAAAAAAAAACGGAGTCTCCGTCAAACCGTCAAACACATCAGTCATAGTCATATATAGTCATCATCAATCGCAATGCAATCTGACTCCTTGGCATAGCTTTGGATCTGGGCTATCAGCTCTCTCTCCACCTGTCTCTTTGCTGCCTGGCGAGCTGATGCTAAAAGTCCCTTGGGATCATCAAAAAAAAATCTGTGGTCACCAACAAACGATGCATTTCGAACAACTTGGCATGTACAATCATGTACCATCCACATGTGTGAAAATTGTGCAAGTATGCGCAAATATCCTAGACACACATGTTTGCCACCAAAACCCATGGTTTACGTTGCATCCGAAAAACAATAATCAAAAAGAACAACAAATCATCAACAAGTCATTGTTTATTGAACCTCCTAGCGCTCTCCCAGTCACATTTTTTTTGATTACGCTCTCCCAGTGGTTTGGAGGAAGCGGTTCGGAGCTAGGGCTATCTAAATTCCCAACAAATGGGGTGAGCCAAAGGCTCTCGAGATTCCCTATTAATGCTGTAGACATATCGCTAAATTACTTAACTTAGTATAAATTGATATCATCATGTTCAGAATACTTAGTAGTTATTAATACTGTAACTAACTTAATGACTTAATTCCTCTAATTCATTTTCATAATTAACCTAATTACTCTACCAAAACAATATGAAACCCTGGGAAAAAACAAGAGAAACCTGACCCGCCCAGCGGCACCCCCTGGGCAGTGTTGAGGGCCATCTCAGCAGCCTTGCCCTTGGCCTTCTCGAAGGCTACGGCGTGGGCCTGAAACCAAGCGGAGGATGGGCCTGGAACCAGCCAATTTAGGGGGATTTGGTGGGGTGTTTTATGGAATTTCATGGGATTTTTGCATAGTTTTCTTGGGATCTTAACCAACAACTTGTGATTTATGAGGATTCAATGGTAGAAACCATCAACTGGGATATAGAACCAGAAAAATCACCAGCACATGGGGATGGGGATTTGATGGGATTCTCCATCGGATTGGTTCAACGGAACCAATCAGCAGATAGTCACGGTTTAAGAAACCCTCTGAACGTGGGTGTCTTCTGCAGATTTTCCCTTAAACCAATTCTGGGATACTAACCATCGGGAAAAATTGGTCGGATAATGATAAGGAATGGGAGGTAAGGGATTCATAGAATATCACAGCAAAATGGGAAAAAAGGGCTATCTAATAGGAAAAGTCATCATTTTACGATATCTAATGGGTTGATTTCATGTCATGATATGTGTGTCCATGAATGACATGAATGGTAGTTTATCCATGAAGAAATTCTTGATCGATCCAGCAATGGTATCCCATGAAGAAATTCTTGATCACATCAGCAAAAAAAATCATATCCTTAGCCTTAGTGGTAATTTGACACATGTCATATACTGGGCCTTAGAGGCTGGTTAACCTGCAAAACTACTTATGGTTATTCTACAAAGAAAAACACATTATATATAATTATATACATACATATATATTTATATTAATTTAATATATATATATATATTATGTATATACGTAAGTATATCATAATTAATGGGCGAAACCTTATCAAACCTTTTTGTTTTGCCACCCCCTGCGACGTGCCTTGTTGTAGACAGCCAGTGCGAAGGGAATTCCATGCAGCTGCATGGCAGTCGAATCCAACAAGCTTCGTGCCTCGCCGCTGGCTCCAAACATAGGATGCAGTTGTGCAGTTTTCATGCTTTGAACATCTTAAGAAATATATTATATATATATATATAATTATATATATAATTATATATATATATATTCAACATCATGTATTCCAAGATATTTTGGAAATTCATGGATTCCAAGGGCATCATTCAACCATTTCATGGACCTTTTTTGGAGTGTAAGGGGTGCAAACTGATCCATCTGCGCCTTGCGAGCTGAAATGCAAGCCTTTGATGCAACCCAAGACTGGGCAGTGGCTGAGGCCTGTCGGCCATTTCACATGAAACCTATTGGCAAAACAACACTTTTTGGCGCATCAAAGGATGCATTTAGAGTACCAAGGTATGCACAACGGATTTCTGACAAGTGTTGAAACTGTGGGGGCAAAGGCAACCTATGAACGTCCAAGATACAGCTACGTAGAGCATCGTAGAGCTGGAATAGTGGATGATCATGACGTTCGCAAGAAGTGGACCAAAGGATTTTGGTGTGTCTAAAAATGGGGAATACTCCAAAATGGCAACTTTGATAGGGAAATGATCAAACATTGGATTTGGTGTACTATGGCACCTCGAAAAACTTCTTCAACTTGCCCACACCTTCAGAACCAACCTTCATGGTCCTTAGACAAATCGCTGCGGCTCATGAACGAGCCATGGGCGATGAATGGTCCATAGGAATGATGTGGTGAGAAGATACTCAAGTGCCACAGAACACCACTGTGACATCTTCTCTATCCATGGGGAATTACACCAGTTGCAGTTGCATCACCAATCCCACAGCTAAATACTGGTCAAAATTGTGAACCTCCCGACGACGGTAGAGGGAACCTCCATAAAGGGCAACAAAAAGTCGGCACAAAATGGTACCCCACTTTCCTGACCTACCCATGTTTGCCGCCCTAACCAACCATCTTTACGGAGTTATATCCCGGTGATTGAAGATCAATATCACCATTTTTGACGATTATAGATTCTCCGGTCATCAAACATGGTTTGCTGGAAAATCACCAATTTGTAGATGATTTTCCCATTTAAAAAAAAACACTTCTCGGGGATTTCCCATTGCCATGTTTGATTACAGAACGGTATCATGGCGACTCAACCCAACCCACGGTAGACCCCTGAACCTTAGATAGTTCATAAGGTTGATAAGCCAATAATCATAGTTGGTCCTGGGTAAGCCCTTAATGAGCCATTCATAACTTAGTGGTTGCGGTCAGCCCCATCTTTGATGGATTGTTTGATAGTCAATCCCCTTGGTTTTTGTAAGTCAATCCCATACTATTCCCATTTTTTGTAGTTGGGTTTGTCTGAAAATTGGGTACCCAAAAGTCCAGTGGTTTATCATAATTTTTCAATATCAAAATGACCATAACTGGGGTTATACACCATTTTCAGACACACCCAAATGTATTGTTATGTAGTTACATGTTTCATTGAATGTTTCCATTATATACATGTGGTTGGTTTCCCAGCAATCCTCATGAAGTCCCATACTGGCACCATTTTATAGTTTTATTTTATATGGAGATGGTATGTCCTCATTATAAAGTAGTAATGATGGTTCATGTGGTAAATCCAATAGTAAACCATCCCAATATCACCAGAAATGGGTGATATGAAGCCTCCAGAATTGGAGGATTATCATTGTGTTTACCACTTTACAAAATGTTACAGTACATCTTATCTTACCGCAATTTTTGATTAGTGATACTAGTGTTACAACCATCATTTATCCATGGTCACCCAGCCCATGCTCCCTACAAATCCCAAGCTCTTCGTCACCGTCTCCGTGTCTTCCGCAGTGGCACTGGCGGTCTTGGACACTTCGGCATCACCTTCGCCTGTCGAGCAAGACATGGGCTAAGGGATCAAAAAAAAAACAAATAAGGATCAAAAAAAACAAAATCGAGGGATCAAAAAAAAAACAAATAAGGATCAAAAAAAAACAAATAAGGATCAAAAAAAAACAAATAAGGACGATCGTAGTGAAAATCGTCAAGAAACTGCGGAAAGGGAGGATCAAAAAAAAAACAAATGGGAATACATATGAATAAAAACGAAAGAGAGTAGATAGCAAGGGAAGTCGATTAAAAAATAAAAGCGGGTGGGGGGGTGCAGGGGGGAGGGCGCAGCGCCTCCCCCCGCAATGCGTACCAAGAAAGAAGCACACAGGCTCAAGTCTCGATGGATATAATTAAAGATTAAGAAAGAGAAGATAAACCCAAAGAAACGATACCTATGAAAAAATGAAAGAGAGCAGGTAGCAAGGGAAGCTGATTAAAAAATAAAAGCGGGTGGGGGGGTGCAGGGGGGAAGGCGCAGCGCCTCCCCCCGCAATGCCTCCCCCCGCAAAGCGTCACATGGTCATGATACATTTCGCAATGTAGATGGGCCTTATCATCCACCTTTGTTGCGCTGTCACAGCATACAGCGGATTACAGCGGCAGCAGTAGTACCGCAACACTAAACGTAGCAGTTGGTGGGCCATACCATCCACCTTTTTGTGGCAACAAAGGCTTGGCCAGAGCTAGTTTGCGCGCTTTGCCGGGCCTCTGGCCGGCACATACATTTCCAGGAACAGGTCACGTAGTGCTTGCATGTTGTCTGGTCGAGTGTTCGTCCACGATGTGTCATAATACTTGTAAGTGTGTTTCTCCGATCTTGCAAAAAACAAATAAGTTCAAATAAGGATCAAAAAACAAATAAGGATCAAAACAAAAACGAAATCGAGGGAAGGAAGGAAGGAAGGAAGGAAGGAAGGAAGAAAGTAGTTGTAGTAGTAGTAGTAGTAGTAGTAGTAGTAGTAGTAGTAGTAGTAGTAGTAGTAGTACTCGTACTAGTACTAGTACTAGTAGTACTAGCAGTAGTAGTACTAGTACTAGTACTAGTAGTACTAGCAGTAGTAGTACTAGTAGTAGTAGTACTAGTAGTAGCAGTAGTAGTAGTAGTAGCAGCAAGAATGAAAACATTGATTATATAAAAAATAAACCCAAATAAACGATGCTTGCGAAGAAAAAGAAATAAAGTAGGTAGCAAGGGAAGCTGATTAAAAAATAAAAGCGGGTGGGGGGGTGCAGGGGGGAGGGCGCAGCGCCTCCCCCCGCAATGCGTACCAAGAAAGAAGCACACATGCTCAAGTCTCGATGGATATAAATAAAGATTAAGAAAGAGAAGATGAACCCAAAGAAACGATACATATGAAAAAAAACGAAAGAGAGTAGGTAGCAAGGGAAGTCGATTAAAAAATAAAAGCGGGTGGAGGGGTGCAGGGGGGAGGGCGCAGCGCCTCCCCCCGCAATGCGTACCAAGAAAGAAGCACACAGGCTCAAGTCTCGATGGATATAAATAAAGATTAAGAAAGAGAAGATGAACCCAAAGAAACGATGCCTATGAAAAAAATGAAAGAGAGTAGGTAGCAAGGGAAGTCAATTAAGAAATAAAAGCGGGTGGGGGGGTGCAGGGGGAGGGCGCAGCGCCTCCCCCCGCAATGCGTACCAAGAAAGAAGTACATACGCGCAAATCTCGATGGATATCAATCAAGATAAAATGAACCCAAATAACCGGTGATGCTTATGAAAAACAAAAAGAATAGTAGGTAGCAAGGGGAACCGATTAAAAAAAAAGCGGGTGGGGGTGCAGGGGGGAGGGCGCAGCGCCTCCCCCCGCAATGCGTACCAAGAAAGAAGTACATAGGCACAAGTCGCGATGGATATCAATCAAGATTAAATGAATCCAAATAAACAACGATGATGCTTGTGAAAAAAAAGAATAGTAGGTAGCAAGGGGAGCCGGCTAAAAAATAAAAGCGGGTGGGGGGGTCAAGAGAAGGAAGCTTTCCTTTCATTTTTCAAGAGAAGGTTACTTCTTTCTTTCTTTCTTTCTTCCTTCCTTCCTTCCTTCCTTCCTTCCTTCTTTTTTTCTTTCTTTCTTTCTTTCTTTCTTTCTTTCCTGTCCTGATTTTGTTTTTTTTGATCCAAGGGTTTTGCCTTCATTTCGTGATAGTTTCCTTGTGTTTTCTCATGTTTTCTGGATTTTGTTTTTTTTTGATCCCTATTTGTTTTTTTTTGATCCTTATTTGTTTTTTTTTTGATCCTTATTTGTTTTTTTTTTGGTCCCTCTCCCCAAGACATGGGTCAAGTGGGAAAAACAAATTGCCGTGCGTATGGATGGATAATATACATCTACCATTGTATACCAGTAGTACCACACAAGGCGGTGGCGGAAATTTCAAAAATAAGAAACCTATAGGAGAGGTTGGTTGTTGTGAGTCACGGATGGCAGAGCGAATCCACTGATGGATCGAAAGGTGGTTGGAGTTGTGTTTTTTGCAATTGGATCTTCTTTCTTCTGACTCTTTCTCTTCTCTGATCTTCTCTCTTCTTCTCTTCTGAAGTTTGACTTCAAAACTTCCTTCGATAACTCACAGAAATGATGATTCAATATATACAATATTATATATATATATATGTGAATAAGAACATATTTAAAAACATATTCAAACATCACCCAATAACCTAATCATATTCAACATAGAAAACGTTCAATTCCTGAAGAAGTTCTGTGTATATGTGCCTCTCCAATCATTAGTTGGCTCTTGAAACATCTTACCTGAAAGCATTAAAGCATCTTCTGATTTGGACCTGCAAAATGCAATCGAATGTCTAGCAAAAAAGCTGTGCTGAAGCACAGCTTCCTCACCGTAAACCTGGAAAAACTGGAGGTTTCCCAAGTCATGGGAATACCCCCAAATCAATCCAAATCATCCATTTGAATAGAATTGTCCATTATCCATCCAGCTATTGGGGTATCCCCATGACTATGGAAACCCCCATGGCACGCCTGTGCCGGTCTGAGACAGCTGCACATCAACACCTCGAGAGCCCGATCCGCCAGCCGTTGCAGAAAGACCCGGGCGTGTCTCAGACTCAAGGGAACCTCGACTGAATCAGGATATGTATGTATATATATATATATAAGATTATAAAAGTATATTAAAATATATTAAAAGTATATATATATAATTATATATACATATGAACATATTATATTAGAGTATAATATCCTTATATGTATGGTATGTTATTCTATTTCAGTAACAAAAATGGTTCAGGGCACCAATATCTAATCTACGTCGACATCTCGATACCAGTCCAAGCTGATCTCCCGACCCACACCTTCGTTGACAGTGGCAGAGGCGGACCTGGATCGCTGTTTTGTAGCAACCATTTGTGGTAAGTTTGGAGATATTTGGGGATGGTTTATTATTGCTTTACTATCAGTTCTGAATTAGGGTAACTTGGAGCTGCTACGATTTCCTAACACCAAATAGCCAAACATTTGTTTCAACAGAAGCCATGCTTTTGTGCTTGCTGAGAGCAAATGCAAGCCTGGATGGTGAATTGAAGATTTTCCGTGGAGGTACTACAGTGTTGGATGGTGTATAGCAACGGAGAGTGATAGATACTTATTGATGGATAGTGATGATTGGTGTTGGAGTATGATGATGTAACAATGTATGTTGGAGTGTGATGATTGCGGATGGATGGTGCTGATGAAAACTCATCAAGAATGGTGTTGGATGGTGATGATGGATCACATGCCCAGGAGATGAGAGCACTTCCATTGATCTGGATAAACTATACTTATTGTTCACTCACCTAAAAAGTTCGGTCATTTGGGGTTACCCCAATCCCCACTGTTCCAGTAACATCGCAAGGGGTTCGGTCATGATCATCGTGAACTAATTCATTCAGATTATCATCCCTTTATATTTACCATTTATAGGATCTGTCTGAAAATAGGATGTATACCCAAATTCTAGCCATTTTGATAGACAAAATGATGACAAATCATCACATTTTGGGTAATGCCGACATTATATCCCATATATATATATAAACATATACCATATGTATAACATATCCCATATATATATATATATATGTATATCATTATATATATATATATCCCATATATCCATATGTATATTAAATGTACAGTATATCCCATCTAATATCCCATCTATATCCTAGCCAGTGCCTGGTGGCGTTGGCTCTGCGCGTGGCGCTGGCTGTGGCCTTCTCCACAGAAGTGGCCTGGGCTTCCTCAGTGCGTCGATGGTGCCACAGCTTCAACGGATTGAAAATGCAACATAGCAAGGTATGAGGGTTATTCACTGGTTATGTATATATATATGTATTTATTTATGTATACATGTATATATATATATTCTAATATATCATACATTTGGTTGTATATTCCCAACAGCAGGGCCTGTTGGGTTTCAATCTCTAGGGCTGGGGCTGGCTCGCGGGGACTTGCAGCCTTCAAAATCCGGAATGGAACCCTGGAACCCTGAAACCTTGGAACCCCGGAACCCTGGAACCCTGGAACCCTGGAACCCTGAAACCTTGGAACCCCGGAACCCTGGAACCCTGGAACCCTGGAACCCTGAAACCTTGGAACCTTGGAACTGAACCGTTCCCTGAGGAACCTTGAACCTTGGCACCCTGGAACCCTCAAGGATTCTGGAACCCTGCAACCTTGGAACCCTGGAACCTTGGAACCCTGCAACCCTGCACACCTGGCACCCTGCTGGGATCCTGGAACCCTGAAACCCTGGAACCCTTGGAACCCTTGGAACCCTGGAAACCCTTTGGAACCCTGAAACCGTGGGACCCTGGTACCCTGGAACCCTGGAACCCTGAAACCTTGGAACCCCGGAACCCTGGAACCCTGGAACCCTGGAACCCTGGAACCCTGAAACCCTGGAACCTTGGAACCCTGCGACCGTGGAACCCTGAAACCTTGGAACCTTGGCACCCAGGAACCCTCAAGGATTCTGGAACCCTGCTACCTTGGAACCCTGGAACCTTGGAACCCTGCAACCCTGCACACCTGGCACCCTGCTGGGATCCTGGAACCCTGAAACCCTGGAACCCTTGGAACCCTTGGAACCCTGGAAACCTTGGAACCCTGAAACCGTGGGACCCTGGTACCCTGGAACCTTGGAACCCTTGAAACCCTAAAACTTCCAAACCCTAAACTCTATGCGCGCTGCGCGCGCTGCATGCAATAAAGTAAACCCTAAAACTTCCAAACCCTAAACCCTAATGCGCGGTGCGCGCGCTGTGTCCCAGAGAAGTAAACCCTAAAATTTCCAAACCCTAAACCATCGTGTTATGCAACTTCCAAACCCTAAAGTTTAACCCGCGGTGTGCGCGCTGCATGCAATAAAATAAACCCTAAAACTTCCAAACCCTAAACCCTAATGCGTGCTGTGCGCGCTGCGTGCCAGAGATAAACCCTAAAACCTTCAAACCCTAAACACTAATGCGCGCTGCGCGCGCTTTGTGCAATAGAAATAATCCCTAAAATCTTCAAACCTGAAACTCTCGTGTCATAGAGGTAAACCCTAAAATTTCCAAACCCTAAACCCTAAACCCTAACGCGCGCTGCGCGCGCTGTGTGCCATAGAAGTACCCCTTAAAATCTCCAAACCCTAAACCATCGTGTCATGGAGGTTAACCCTAAAACTTCGAAACCCTAAAGTTCAACCCACGCTGTGCACGCTGCGTGCAATAAAATAAACTATAAAACTTCCAAACCCTAAACCCTAATGCGCGCTGCGCGCGCTGCGTGCCACACACATAAACCCTAAAACTTTCAAACTTTAAACCGTAACGCGTACTGCGCGCGCAGCCTGCCATAGAGGTAAACGGTTAAACTTTCAAACGCTGCGTGCCATAGAGGCAAAGCCTAAAACTTTCAAACGCTAAACCGTAAAGCAGGCTGCGCGCGCTGCGTGCCATAGAGTGCTCCTCAAAAGTGATTACATGTCATACTTTAGTGGCATCCTCCAAATTCATTAGTCAGCCTTTGTTAATCCAGGGCCCATTTTACACATGTCATCTTCTTGGTCGTGGCGCCATTTCAGGATCACACTGATGACCTAAGCTTTGGCCTTAACTATTATGCAGGCAAGCGACATCAGCACGCTATGGTATTGGAAGACACAGGGTTTGCCCGTAGACCAGCCAAAAAATCGATTTTCCACACTGAACAATTGGATTTAACACATTTAGAATAGGAGCTCCGCCTGATTCAGATTTCATCACTTAAAAGGTACCCATGCCTGACTAGCCTTCATGACTTAAAGCGTAACCACACCCGACTTAAGGGAACCATGCCTGACTAGCCTTCATAATTAAGAGGTACCCACCCACGCCTGACTTAACAGAACCCATGCCTGACTAGCCTTCATAATTAAAAGGTACCCATGCCCCTGAATTCAGGGAACCATGCCTGACTAGCCTTCACAATTAAAAGGTACCCACTGGAACCATGCCTGACTAGCCTTAATGACTTAAAAGGTAACTACACCTGACTTAATACCTGATTTACTGGTTTTGCCTGATTTTGGAAAAACGCAGGGCCGGAATTTGCAGGGCGCGGGCCGGAATTTGCCGGGCCCGGGCCGGAATTTGCCGGGCTGGGATTTTGGGGTCGTGCCTAAATAGGATTTTTGCAAAAATCGTGCATGACTGAAGGGAACCATGCCTGACTAAACATCATACCAATCATCCCAAAAGAATCCAATAATTCCAGCAAGTGATGCCTGACCAATCCCTGCGTCATAATAAACCGTCTGCCCCTCCCCACCCAATAATGAACACACGGAATAATTTTTTGTATTTAGTGGGTATTTAGTATGAGGGTGCGAAACTTCCCCCTTGGTTAAAAAAAAAAACTAAATTGGAAAACATTTTTTAAATAACATCTAACTAAAATATTGCCAAAATTGGATTCCGAAGCTTCCCCCTGACATTAAATTGAAAACATTCGTTTTAAAAAATGAACTTTATATTTCAAAACCGATTTAATTCCTATTCAAAATCTAACTCAAATCTTGCCAAATTGGATTTCGAAGCTTCCCCTTATATTAAATTGAAAACCTTACTAATCCCCACCTCCTTTTACTAAACGTACCCTAAATACTAAAATATTACATTGATTCCTTTTACTAGGGTCCGCGTTAAATTTTGGGAAATTTCAGGCTGGCCAGTTTGACTTTTAATTGATACCTTTTCAAAAACAAATTAAACATGAAGGTCCCATTTCAGGATTTCACCACCAAAAAATAAAAACTAGTCAGCCCCGGTGATTTTTTAAACTAGGGTCTTTTAAGGTCGAAAAAAAAAGTATTTTATATTACAACGTTTATATAATATTGAGGAAAATTTCGAAATCCACTTTTTGGCATTTCCTGGCAATATTTTTGCTGGACGTCAAAAGGAAATCTAATCGATTCTTGAAATCGAAAAAACATAGTTTTTTTTTAATTAGTGTTTTTAATTTAATCTTAGGGGAAAATTTCGAAATCCAATTTTAGCAATATCTTAATTATATGTTAAACAGAAAACTAATCGATTTTGAAACAGTTTTTTTTTAATATATTAGGGCTGGTAATTTAATATTAGAGGAAACATTTCGAAATCCGGTTTTTGTTTTTATTTTTGTTACTACAATTTAAAAGGAAATCGAATCGATTTCAAAAAAGAAAAAATAATACTTTATATCAGGGTTTTTAAAGTAATATTAGGGGAAAACTTCAAAATCCAATTTTTGACCATATTCTAATTAGATTTCAAAAGGAAATCTAATGAATTTTGATATAGAAAAAATAGTCTTTGATATGAGGGTTTAATATGAGGGGAAAGCTTCGAAATCCAATTTCTGGCAATATCTTAATTTGAATTTACAAGGAAATCTAATCGATTCTGAAATAGAACAAATTTAGTTTTTTATATTGGAATTTTTCATGCAAGATTAGGGGAAGCATCGAAATCCAATTTTTGAACATATTTTAATAATTAGATTTTAATTTGATATTAGGGGAAAGCTTCAAAATCAGTTTTTTGTTTCTTTCATTAGATTCCAAAAGGAAATCTAATCGATTTTGAAACAGGAAAAAAAACAAAATGATATTAGGGTTTAATATAAGGGAAAAGCTTCGACATCCAATTTTTTGGCCATATTTTACTTTATTTTGAAAAGGAAATCTAATCGATTCCGAAATAGAAAAACATACATAGTTTTTTTATGTTGGGGTTTTTTATTTGATATTAAGCTTCGGAATCCACTTGTTTGCCATATTTTAATTGGATTTAAAAAGAAAGAAATCTGATCGATTTTGAAATAGAAATATGTGTATATATATATATATGTGTGTGTGTGTGTTTTTTTTTATCAGTATTAGGGGGAAGCTTCGTACCCTAATACTAAAGACCCCCCCAATACTAAAAACTCCTCCAGGTGTTTGTTATTTGGGTGGGTGGGTGAAGGGGCGACTGTTTAGCAACAGGGGGAAGGGATTAAACCGTTTTTTGTTTCTAATTTCAAAATCCATGAAAATAATCTTTAAATAGAATACTACCAAGAATCGGATTTCGAAGCTTTCGCCTAGTATCAAATAAAACACCAACACTTAAATTAAAAAAACTAAAATTGACGATTTTAAAGGACGGACCCCAATAAAAGACACCCCGGTGTTGACTAGTTTTTTATTCTTTGGGGGTGAAAGCCTCACATGGTACCTTCATTTTTAAAATTGTTTCCTCAAGGGGATCAATTAAAAATCAAATTAACCAATTTGACATTTCCCAAAATTGGAAATCGCACCTAGTTTTTGTCATTCGGGGGTATTTTTCGTAATAGGGAGAAAGGATTAGCAAAAAGAATGCCTGATCAAAATGATGCTGATTCTGTGTGTTACAATCTTTTTGCCCACTACAGTGCCTACAGGGTTACAAGGGATGCCGTGCCAGCTAGAGTCCCAAGTCCATTCAACCAACACCCTAATCGATGAAGTTGGACTTGTTGAAATGGAAGTGGGACTGGACCAGTTGACATGGGGCGATGCTGACCTTCAACGGGAGCTTCGGCGCCTGAAGGACAACAGTTTGAAAATTCCGAACCTGAAATATATTTTCAAAATTGCCTTATTAAGAGTGATCCCCACCCTGACACACTATTCTGACATAGTTTCTGACATATCATCTGGACGTATATGTGGCATATATGTTCTGACATACTATCTTACATTCTTTTCTGAGATTCTATTTGACATTCTTTCTGGCATCCTATCTGGCATCTATTCTGACATACTTTCTGGAATATACTATATTCTGATCCTGCCTTGCCATGAGTTTGGGCTGGGAGTGCTTTTATTTGCGCGGATCAATGCCAATGGCTTGAATATCCACCAAATGTTGGTTTCACATGTTTGCACCCAATGATTGCCATTACCATTGATACCCCAAAATGGCCAGGTCCTGAATTTGAGAGTAGGTCCTGAAAAGTTTTCTGGGTACTGAAAAAACAGGACTTTGGCACAGGGTCTGAAAAAAGACGTAGGTGGAAGATTCAGGTATGCTGTTGGGTTGCAAAGCTGGGTTAATATCTATATTTTTGAAGCAAATGAGGAATGACTGTTCCTACATCCTTTCTATTTTATTCAGAAAAGGATATGGTGTTGTATATATATATATCATAAAGCAAGACCTATAGAGTTGTTGGGTTGATGCAACACCTGCAATATCAGAAATATTTCCTCACACGATGCGAATCATGCCGGTTTGGGATGAAAGAATGAGGTATCTTCGAAATTGATACCACCAACTAGGGACATTTCCGGCAACTCGTCACCCACATCATCAAAGAAGCAAGGATGACAACCAAAGCTTCACCGCTGATGCTTACACTGTCTACAACATGCGACGCTCTGCTGGCTGGCACATACACTGCAATTACCACATTAGTTCTGCAGCTCCTGCTAATAGATCCTTACAACATCATTATAGAATCACCACCGTTTTAGTGGGGGGGACGTACCCAAAATGTAAGCTACATTTTTCAAGGTGTTTTTGAGGGGGGCCTTGACCATGTAAGCTTACATTTTGAAGGTATTTTGAAGACCCTCCCCACAAAAACGACACCTGGGGCACGTTCAGCGACCAATTTTACATTTAAGGGGGGGGGGGGTCCCAAAAAATGTATCTTACATTTTGGTATGGTCCCCCCTGAAAAGTACCCTTAAAGGGGTTATGATATTATAAATCCCACGACAAACATGTTGACATCAATGTAGCAGAATCATCAAAACCTTTAGAAAAATACACAACTTGAGATCAATATCATCAACAACTTCCAAAACAAGAGGGATTACCTTCATCCATTTCAGCTGTTTCAACCTTCATGTAGCTCATTATACTCGTTGGTTAAGAACGGGATTCCCCTATAGAATTATTTCAACCCCCATATATATATATATGCGTGTGTGTGTGTGTGTAAATACATTAATATGTATATGTATATGTATATGTATATATATATATATGTATGTATGTATGTATACCTGTATGTATATATCTATGTATCTATGTATCGATGTATCTATGTATCTATGTGTCTATGTGTCTATGTATGTATCTATGTATGTATCTATGTATGTATCCATGTATGTATCTATGTATGTATGTATGTATGTATGTATGTATGTATGTATGTATGTATGTATATATATTATAGGTAGTATAGTTCCACATAATCCCCTCATGTAGAGCAAAGTGTCGATTTTGATGTGAGCCTTTGTGATAACGTCACTGTTCTCCTTGACGGGAGATCCGGCCAGCGCTGTTGCGGAGGCCTCCCAGGGTATCAGAATCCGACAACAAAACACCTAGCTATAGTCATACGTCTATCATTAACTGTGTTTTAATATATCAATAAATACATATGAAAATATATGCCTGTATCCATGTCAATCTTTATCTATACATATGTATGTACATATGTACGGATTCTACGGGTATCACTTGTACTGTACCGCCCCATCCTTTTGGGCATTAATTACAGGACCCAACGCACGGAACAGAGCCACCTGATAGCTGGCCGTCACCTGATCGGTGGCCTCCGCATAGGCCTTGGCAGAGTGACAGATCAAACAAATTTTGTTTGAACTGACTCTGGAATAGTCATTCATCAGAATATTATCAATAGTGATTAATCAAATACTAATTGATGATTATATAAAAGATTAATGCTTGATTAATGACTAATGATAAGAACCCATCACAATCATAGTAGTGATTCTAGTGACAACAATAGTGGCGCAAATAGAAAATAGTTAAGAATAAAAATAAAGGTAATAAGAAGAAAATACAAGTATCCTCATGATCCTCATGGAAATCATAATTGGCATGCTAATGATGATAAGCATATCAATATTCATTGATGTCAATCAACAATACTACAAATGAGCTAAACAAATATTAGTTAATAATAACAATACTAAAAAGTTTAACAATATCAGTATATATATGCGTATATATATATATTATATGGATATTTATATATATAAACAAGTGCTCAGGTTTTCAGATATATAGATATAGATATATATATATACATATTATATATATATTATTACATGCACATTACATATCACAGAACTGATGACCAGCTCAACCACGTTGGAACACCAAGGCTCTGTATGCTCCGCATGGGCCGTCGCCGTGGCATTGTAACTGCCCTTCCCAGTTGCTTCGGCCTGGGCAGATCGGAGGAATCCGGTGTCAAAAACGGAGATTTTTGGGATCAAATGGAATGATGGTTAATGATGGTTAATGGTTATATATGTAATCATCATTAACCATCATTAACCATCATTCCAACCATAATTAAACTGCACATCTGCCATTCAATATATGTACTGTAATCTGTAAAAAATGTTGATCTGCCATTCAAAAAATAATAATCAATGATGCACATCTTGAAAAAACATCTTTCAACTTTCATTTCCAAGTAGTTTCAATATGATGAATTCAGATGGTTTCAACCAATTTGATAGATGAAAAAATGCCAACACCCCACCTGCACCATGGCATGCTGCTTCGCAGAGGCCGTAGCAGCCACGGTGGCTGTGGCCTGTCTCTGGCGTGCAGCTTTCCGGATAGCCCCAGTTACAATAATGTTATATATAAAAAGGGTTTCTATCATTGTTGATTATCTATATAATGGGTTTCTATCATTGCTGATTATCTCTATAATGGGTTTCTATCATTGTTGATTATCTATATAATGGGTTTCTATCATTATTGATTATCTATATAATGGGTTTCTATCATTATTGACTATCTCTAAAATGGGTTTCTATCATTATTGATTATCTATATAATGGTTTTCTATCATTGTTGATTATCTCTATAATGGGTTTCTATCATTGTTGATTATCTATAAAATGGGTTTCTATCATTGTTGATTATCTATATAATGGGTTTCTATCATTGTTGATTATCTATATAGTGGGTTTCTACCATTATTAATTATCTCTATAATGGGTTTCTATCATTATTGATTATCTCTATAGTGGGTTTCTATCATTGTTGATTATCTATATAATGGGTTTCTATCATTGTTGGTTATCTCCAGAATGGGTTTCTATCATTATTGATTATCTCTATAATGGGTTTCTATCATTGTTGATTATCTCTATAATGGGTTTCTATCATTATTGATTATCTCTATAATGGGTTTCTATCATTATTGATTATCTCTATAATGGGTTTCTATCATTGTTGATTATCTCTATAATGGGTTTCTATCATTGTTGATTATCTCTATAATGGGTTTCTATCATTGTTGATTATCTCTATAATGGGTTTCTATCATTATTGATTATCTCTATCATAATGATCATGACTTAGTATATGCTGGGATTCTATCATTATTAATATTTGTTATATATGGTTGTTGATGATTGATGGGTATCTATGTGTATACGTTTTATTGGCAACCACCCATAAAGATAGACAACGACAGAAAGTGATGTACCACTATTGGAGTAGGATTTGACGGTTCTCTCTTTTTTGGGCTGCGATCTCTCTGTATATGTGTTACTGTGTTATATAGGTATATATAGGTACAATATATATATATATAGAACTGAGGTTTTTCCCATTATGAGTGGGTAGCATTTTTGCCCGTGGTTGTTGACTGGCTTCTTTTGGATATACACACTTGCCTATTGTACTTGGGAGATTCATCTACATGAGAATGTTTCAGCAGTGTTTGATTGCCGAAAACAACACATCGATTCGCCAGTGTCATATTCTTTGTTCAAATCTCCGAAAACATCCACTTCCCGTGCCAGGGTCACAAGCGGGGAACAGTAGTCTACTTGCAGCCTCAGCCTAAAACCATGGCTATGTGCACCCTCCCTAGTGCAAGTTTCTTCGCACAAGAGTTTTTAGACAAGTTTCTGCGAACCCGAAAGTCCAGAAGACCCAGGAAGCTCAATATATAGATCTTGAAGGAGAAGACCCAAATGTCCGTGAATTTTGAGACATACCCATGATTTTCGAACACTGTTGCAATAACACTGGTTGCCATAGTTGTTGGCTGTGTAAGCTGTCCAGTTTCTATTGTTGGCATGTGCATGTAGTTATGCGATTGCATCCTCACTATTGTCGGTTCCTGGTAAGCGAACAGTCGAGTATTGGATAATGCCTTCTTCGCTGGTTACATCTCCCCACACCTCTTGGCTATATCCCCATACTAACATAGTACTTGTTGCCTGTTTCCTATCCTTTTGATTTCTGCAATGATCAATTCCTTCCCCCTAAGATTGAATAACAGCCTAGAAACACTGGAGTTCAGTACTGAATCTAGGAATAGTTGAAGGGGATGGCTGCTTTTCAAGGCTCAAGCAACGAACCCCATAGCCGCCTTCTGAGTTGCATTGCCTACCACCTTGCGCAGGCCGCTGGGGTGGGCGTAATCATTCATCAAAATATGTGATCAGTTCTGAAGTCAAAGACTTGTAAAACGCTGCAAACTCACAAGCTTGCTTGTCGAGAATATAATGATGATTTATATTATCATTTAGACAAGAAAGAACATCTCCCAGCCTCCACAGCTTTATAGATGCGGCCCTCAATGATCTTGGTGACAGAGTCCTTCATGGTGAACTCTGGTACTAGCACCTGATTGGCTGATAGGCAATCCCAGTCTTTTTGATGGCTAATTAAATTTGGCAAAAATATTCAATGAACAAACCGTTTGCAGCATTTGCTCGACATGATTGGGATAAAGAAACACACGGAAATTGAGTACTATGTTTTGGGGACCAAAACTCTTGAATGCTGCATTTGAGAGTATAGTGCATACACGTACACGTTCAGGGTCATTCCATTCATGATAAGCATGTGTATGTAATGTATGTATATATATATATATATTATATACGTGATTTCATATATGTACATATGAGCCAATCCTTAACACTAACACCTCTCCATCAGGTAAAGAACCGGGGCTTCTAACATGTGTGGAAATTAGGTTCTGCAACAAGGGACTGCTCTAGAGGGTGTACAGCGACTGCATGAGTTCCAACCTGGGTCTTATACATATCACCATCTCGCAGCGAGCAGCATCTGGAAAGAATCCAAGTAGGACTTGGCTCATCCACCAATTTTGATTTCCAAGATTAGAATATATATGATTTATGTTCAGTAACTGGTGGATATATTTATAGAACCTGTGGTTTATAAAACATGTTTTAGTATTTATAAATACATCTTTTTCCTATGGGTATGTCTGAAAATGGGGTATACCCCCAATGAAATAGCCATTTAGTAGGGAGAATGATCAGCAAAACCATTGGGTGTAGGGGTACACTATTTTCAGACAAACCCCTATATGTTCCCCATCTGCCCAGTAAGCAGTTTTCCTCAATGATCGTCCCAGCCACAGTAACACTGATGCACATCTTTGGTTCTTGGCGGCCAAAAGGCACCAATCTTCCCCGGTCTTCCTGCAGCCATCTTTGTGTGGCAAGCGTTGGACAAACCATTGATGTTAGCCAAAGCCCTTAGTGTTGTTCCATAAACACATCGTTTTTGCATGATTTTGCTCGACAAATCCTCGGATGTTTGGTTGATTCGTTAAATTTTCATTGGTTGATCTTGTACCGAAGAAAACAAGAAAACTGGCTCGTTCAAACATCCTCGGATTCCTCGTTGATGCATCCACTGCCGGCCTTGCCCAAGGCCTTCACAGAGGACACCTCTGGGACTTTTCCACCCCAGGCCTGGTCGAGGACAGGCTCCGCAGTGAAAAGTTTTGTTTTTTTGGGGGAGGGATAAAACTGTTGGTTTTCCCAACTTTTGGTTTATGATATATGAATAATTATGAATATGTATATTGTAGTGGACTATGATTACTTTGGCTATCCATGTTAATGTTAGACCATTAGTCGGTGCCAGTAATGAACTATAGATATATCTACCCATAAATCATATGGTGAGGAGCCCCACCTATGGAATTTTCCAGGGACCTTTGTGACCACAGTGGAAAAATGACTTTCAGAATCTTTCAGATGTATTCCGGAAGTTGAAGTGAGGTATATATTCAACTTAACAGAGGTATTATAGCCATTAATACTTGATATACCCAGCAAAAGTGAAAATATACCCATTAATCGTTCATACACCAATTCAGAGTTGATATACCCGTGATGAATTTTGATAGTTTGTAATTATATATCCGTTGACATAATAGATAGAAACATATCCATTATATATCTGTTGACATAGTTAGATATTATCATTGTATATCTATCCGTTAACATAGCTTTATATATCCCATATCCCATTGTGAATTTTGTTGTGCCTCAAACATGTCTTCAAACATCTTCATTGCCGCCTTTTCTGCCTGAGCCGGACAGGTTCTGATTCATAGCCGTATCTCCAGTACATGTTGGGGGATGGTGTTACAAATACCATGAATACTAGTAACGTATAATACAGTATTATTTGACGTTCTTTTTCTCGCTTTCTTAGTGGGGAATGCAAAGAGAAGAAGGACTCTGTTCATCCACACCCAGTCTACAACATCTCCCATTCAGTGTGGCAGCTCGCAGTTGCAACATCAAGAACCCATGCCAAACGGCGAACACAAGAAGTAGATTGCCCATGATTTTCCAAACATGTCTAAGCCACTGGATTTGGGTCTTTGGTTTTTGCCAATTTTTTTGGACAAACCCTGTACTTTGTATCACAACTTCAGCAGGTAAGGTGAACCGCTGGCGTCTGAACCTCCTTCGCGTCTGGAGGCATTGTCCTGGGACGGTTGGCGTTCGGAAAGGTGATGCAGGAAACGTTCAACAGTCTTTCCAGAAAACGTAGCTATTGAAAATGGCCATTTATAGTGGATTTTCCCATAAAAAAAGGTGATTTCCCATAGTTATGTTAGTTTACCAGAGGGTAGATGCCCCAAGTTCTTAAGATTGGAAGCCTACGCGATTGGAAGCCGCACGGAAAAATGGGCGAAAAGAATGCCGCAAAGATCCACAGTCCACAGTGGAACTGCATTCATTCGTGCGATGCTCTTTGATTTTTGATAGGTTGACTCCCCTTCCCACAACATCCAAGATGGTGATGTGAGCAAAATCCGGAAACCACTGCCTGTATAGGATTTATCCAGACCAAAAGCAATTATAGATTACCTTAAATCGGGAAGACTTAAGTTCCTTTGGCCAATCTTTGATAGGAGTATTTTGCAACAAATCATGTTTGCCCGATATCCTATATTAGTATCTAATGTGGTTACAACATCACCATAATACCATAGTGCCATAGGTGGTATGAACCATCAAAACCCACGGTGTATGATTGCTTTACTGAGGCTTTACTCATACTGATGGCTTTCCTGACCGAGCATCGGAGGAGCACTTCCGGGGATCACCATCTTGGTGTGCATGCCGATCTCAGTGGGGAATTGATGCACTGGAGATTCCGTGGATTGTGGCAGAGATGGTTACAGGAGTCCAAATGATGTAACATGATATACTGGTAACATGATATAACATGATGTAACATGATATAACATGATATAACATTATATAAACCTAGAAGTACAAGCCAAATCAAACCAACACGAAACATTCAAACTGCCAATGCTCAAGTAGAAAGGGCCAATGGATTTTTCGATACACTGTCCATATTCATCCAAAATCAATATAGATTTTTCCTTTTATAACCGAAACTTTCCGCTGCTAGTGCTGACTTGGCGTTTCAAAAGCCCTTGGCCTGCGGCCCCTAGTGTTGCAACCAAAGCACCACCTCGATCTTGATGTCATCTTGCTCCTGTCATGCAGCACACTGAATGCAACATAATGCAACGCTTTAAAAAATACCCTTGATGCAAAGATCTCACAGGAAACAATTCCAGCTATTCCTTCCAAATCAACAAATATCAACAAGCCCCACGAAAATTCTGCATTTGAGTTTCCCCCGGCAGTAACTGTTCTGGATTGTTTTGGATCATCCCCATCTCCTTTAATCTGAGCAGTGGTGAATTTCTTCCCCATCAGCCTGTGGCGTCTGGTCATCGACCTTCTGCACTGAGACATCGGTGATTCGCACCACAGAGTCTTGCCTGTGATGCGACGGCAAAATGAACGGATCTCACGGATCTCCAAACTTTCTAGCTGAATCAGTCTGAATCTCTTCAAGATGAACCTTTTGAAAACATTTGATTTCAGCAAGTCAATCGAGGTCACTGAACTATGACTAACAATGATACTGAACAATGATGAACCAGGCTGAACAATGGCCATCTTGCAGAGTTGGACTAAGATTGCGCTCCTTTGCTCATTGGTTAGCGGGACTGCATCCGAATCAATGACCTGCCGCATGAGACCAACAACAGCGAAAACAGCAAGACACAAACCATCAATGAATAGGTTCTCATAGGTTTAATGTGTTAACCAAAGGTATTGTGGGTTTATAACATTTTATAATTTATAACCAACCCTTTAATTGGGCGATATCATATCATCAACATTCACCAACCATATGAGGTTCCTGTTCTGAGACAAACCCATATATCTTCATTTAGGTTGCAAAATGATGCAAACCATAAGCCATGCAAGAAATGCAAGCACTTCAAGGTTCGCAAATCTCTTGTGATGTGGCGATAATGGCATGGTCCCCTTTTACGTTTTCCCCCGGATCAACTGACCCCATGGGAGCCATATCTTCCCTGGCCGCCTTTACAGTAGGCTCTCGTGCCTCAACATCATAAAACCAGAGTTTGGCGGGTGAAACTGTAGCAAACCATCACAAGTTGATCCAGCTTTGGGATGTTTTGGGTACACAATTTTGATCCCCCAAGGGGTAATTCCGGGTAATTAAGTGGAATCATTAGCCTATTGAGACGTGGTAATTACCAGTGATCAAATAAATAACAATAAATACCTGGCTGCCTTGAAAACATGTACGAAAACATGCCGCACAGAGGTGTGGGGAGGGGAGGTAGGACACGACCACTGGGCAAAGTCTGAGCCGCCCGAGCCAAGAACTTGGCTTGGTGTCGGTGACTGGTGCCTGAAGATGTCTGGAAGGTAGCCTGGCAATGAGATCTGGCAACATCCACTGTGTGTTGAAACCAAAAAAGATCATTGTCTGAAGGAATGGAATGCCAGTGGCCAAAACACATTTTTTTTAAAAAAAATGTGATTTTCTCGAGATGTTGACCATCTGCCAAGAGTTCCTTTTGACTCACAGATCGCTTGCTAAGATCCCAACCAGAAGCACGATGAGCGCAATACGCATGGCGCCCATTCGTCACCTGTGACAGCAGTGGCTGTATAGAATTGATAGAGCAGAAGCGACCCCTATGATGGGTCATTCATGATCATTATGGCACACCATCTCTCCCGCACAAGTGGGCAACCGTGGAACACCTTGAACTAATACCAACTGACGATTTGACTTTTTGAGTCTATAACTGTCAAGCCTGAAATTTTGATTTTGGACAACATATTTTTTGGACTTCCAAAGTTACCTTTGTGCGAACATGCGTCCAAATCAAACCGTATGGTTTGCTGGTACTCAAGACAACGAGATTCTGTCTTGCCAATTCAGCCCCTGCTTCACAGACACCGCAACCATCTTTGGAAGCTTGAACGACTTTGAGTTTGGCAGTTAACAACAAACAAAGGATCAATACTATGGAACCTTGCAGAATACAAACAGTAGTCAAACATTTGCAGTGTAGAAGTTATAACATGTGCGAGTCACGAGGGATATCTTCCACCAGTTGGAGGGATCAACGTTATCAACTGGTGGATGTTTGATAATGGAGAAATCCAGAAGCTACATACCCCAATCGCTGTAATGTTGGATTAACAATAGTAAAGCGCGTGCAATAGCTACAAATAATTTTCAGAATCTGATTTTTCAGCCCCTATTGATTTTAAATTAGGCCTTATTGATTTTAACATCAATCTTGGTCCAGAGCATCTGCAATAGTTGTGCTGCATTCCCAATAGCTGCAAATAATTTTCAGAAAATTCCCAAATTATCAGATTTTCCAATACTAAATTGTCAAAGGGGCTAATTGATATGTAGTAAATGTTTTTAATTGTGATTGCATGCTTTTCAAAAGCAAAAACAAAGCAAACCTTTACCAAATCAAAAACTTTACCTTGTTCAAAAAAACTGTTTTCTTTATTAAAGTCCTTTTAAAAAATTGCAAAAAAACAGGTCCACAAAGGGTACCCCCTTGCAGGTCCTTGCATTTGCAATTAAAAATTGGAATTAGCACTTGCAATAAAAAACAACCTTTCTGGCTCTAGCTGTATTTTTTTCCCTTCTTCCTTGGTGTTTTTAATTTTGGTTGAATGGTTTTTAATTGTGATTGCATTGGATTTGTCAAAACCTTACAGAAGCCTTGGGGAAGAGTTGGGATTTTCGATTTACTATTGCAAAGCAGACCCCTTCCCCTAAAAAAAAAAAACACGGGGGGGCCCTTTACTATTGTCGATGTAACATTAGTATCCCTCAATAACTAAGGGATAGATTTCACAATAAACTGGCACTTAAATTCCATACTGAAAAAGGATATGTTCCACAAATGGGCAATGTGGAAAGCCCGCAATAATCATCACACCATCCCAAATCCCAATAGAATTGAGTGATGTAAATGTTTTTACTATCCCCAAGTGGAGGTTGTTGAATAGTGTGCCACATTAGACTGACGTCAACCTCCCCAAACTATGCAGAACTGATATCCCCAGCCCAAGGCCTCCAACACCTATCTTCGTTGAGGTGTTTCGCACGCGCGCCAGAGCCCACGCGTGCAGCTTGGGCCGAAATGACGAACACGAAGGTCGAACTTCTGGCTTTCTGATTTGAAGGTAAACCCAAAACAGCCCCCAGAATTCAAGAGAAAATGAATGACATTGAACATCCCCAATTGGAGGCCTCCGTTCTTGGGATAGCA